AATAATAATAATAATAATAATAATAATAATAATAATAATAATAATAATAATAATATATTAATATATTAATAATAATAATAATAAAAATAATAATGCATGGTGGTGGTGAAGATGGTGATAATAATAATGTTGTTGATAATGAACCCAGTGTGCTTTGGTGGAATGTATGGTCTTTTTAACATGCAGATAGTCCTTGACTTACAGCAGTTCATTTAGTGATCGTTCAAAGTTACAACATCCCTGAAAAAAATGAACATTTTTCACACTTAGGACCTTTGCAGCATCCTAATGGTCAGGTGATCAAAATCCAGGCACTTGGCAACTGACTTGTATATATGATGGTTGCAGCATCCCGGGGTCATGTGATTCCCCTTTGGCGACATTCTGACAAGGGAAGCCGGGCTCACTTAACAATCGTTTTGCTGTTATGGTTTGCTGGCAGCAGGTGCAGATGGCTGAGGCTTTGGAGAGCGAGGACTCAGATGAGGGGCCTGTGTGAGATACAGGGATGGGGCCAGGACCATCAGGGAGTAGATTGCTGCCGTTGGGAATTGTGGAGGCTCTCAGCAGTGATTAAGAGGCCCCTGAGGAGCCAGTGTATGTGCACACAGGGCTGCTCGAAGGAAAGAGCAGCTGCAGCAGCACGGGCGACTCAGGAGTAAGGCTGCAAGGTGATGGCCCCTCCCTTAAGGGATAAAAGACAGCTGAGAAACTGGAGTTCTTTGCAGGAAGCAACAAAATTTTTGCACTCAAGCCTTGTGGACATTCGGATTCTCTTAGTTTGTGTTTGGAGACTCTTTGGGTTTGAAATATTTCTTAGTAACTTTACCTAGTATTCTTGGCAGCCTTGCACCACCTTGGCAAGGCTCGTTCTTATTAAAGACAATTAGTTTGAAACAGCCTTTTAACTGGGAAGGAACAGAATTCGTAAAAAATTATTAAAAGGTTTTGCTGTTACCTCCATTTTGTGTTTGTTTCCTTGGAACAAGGTTTGGGTCAGAACAGTCACTAACTTTAATACCCTGAGGGATTCGCTTAACAATGGTGACAAGAAAGGCCGTAAAGTAAGGCAGAACCTTGCTTAGTCAGTGTTTCACTTAGCAGCAGAAATGTCGGGCTCCATTGTAGTCGTACACCGAAGACTGCCGATAAATCTGCTTTCTTGTGAAATTGCGCCTGCCGTTTGCACTCGGGATTGCAGTTTTCAAAGCACAAATTGTATATGGGGAGAAAAATCTTTGGACCTTAGGTAAAGGTAAAGGTTCCCCTCACACATGCGTGCTAGTCGTTTCCAGCTCTAGGGGGAGAATGAGAAAGGGAAGAGACAGAGAAAGAGAACTAGAAAGAGACAGACAGAAACAGAGAATGAGAAAACGAGAAAGACAAGAGAAAAAGACAGAGAGATAGAGACAGGGAATGAGAATGAGACAGACAGAAAAGAGAATGAGAGAACGAGAAAGACAGAGAGAGAATGAGAAAGAGACAGAGAATGAGAGAACGAGAAAGAGACAGTTGTAAAAAAGAATGAGAGAACTTACAAAGCCAAAGAGCCAGCGCTGTCTGAAGACTTCAACGTGGTCATGTGGCTGGCAGGACTAAACGCCTTCAAAGGTTCAGGGAGCGCTGTTCCCTTCCCACCAAAGGGGTCCCTATTTTTCTACTTGCATTTTTTACATGCTTTCGAACTGCTAGGTTGGCAGAAGCTGCTGGGACAAGGAATGGGAGCTCATTCCGTGACACAGTGTTGGGGATTCAAACCGCCAAACTGCTAACCTTTCTGATCGACAAGCTCAACATCTTAGCCACTGAGCCACCACGTCCCCTTTAGACTTTAAACCCCCGAAAATGCTAGGGTGGACATAATTTAAATTATAGCCTTTTTCTCTTTTGTCTTTTCCAGATAATAATGGCTGCAATATGTTGGTACCACCAGACGTAGCTGTAAATATGACCTGACATCCTGAAGATTGTATGCCTGGCCATCAGGTGATCTGGAGACCATGGAGCTGAAAGTTTGGGTTGATGGAGTCCAAAGGATTGTTTGTGGAGTAACGGAAATTACAACATGTCAGGAAGTGGTTATAGCACTTGCTCAGGCTATAGGTGAGTTTACACTCCCGATATTGATAGTTGGAGGCGAGTGAGAAAAGGTTCTGTTGGACCATTAATTCTGCCCTGACCGAACTAGGTAGCATCATCCGTATAAAGTGAACTGTACACCACCCTAACGGATGATGTTACTTAGTTGGGTAAGGAGATGTCAGTAAGAAAACCACAAAGATTATCAAGCACCCCACGCTTCAACCATGAGTTAAAAATATTTAGTGATATTTCGGATCAGGAATCAAGTGCAATACGGATAATTGATTACACAGAGGAGTGTAACAGCCTTTATAGCAATAGCGCTTAGATTTATGCACCACTTCACGGTGCTTTTACAGCCCTCTCTAAGAGATTTACAGAGTCAGCCTATTGCCCCCAACAATCTGGGTCCTCATTTTATTGATGTCGGAAGGGTGGAGTCAACCTGGAGCCAGTCAGGATCGAACTCCTGGCAGCGGGCAAAGTTACCTTGCAATACTGCATTCTAACCACTATGTCACCCGGAAGGAGATTGAGAAAGGGAATAAGATGGAGGGAGGGAGGGAGGGAGGGAGGGAGGGAGGGAAGGAAGGAAGGAAGGAAGGAAGGAAGGAAGGAAGGAAGGAAGGAAGGAAGGAAGGAAGGAGCAGCACTTCCTTCAGTGCTTTTACAGCCCTCTTTAAGTGGTTTACAGAGTCAGCACGTTGCCCCCAACCATCTGGGTCTTCATTTTACCAACCTTGGAAGGATGGAAGGCTGAGTCAACCTTGAGTAAGTCAGGATCTAACTGCTGACAGCAAGCAGAATTAGCCTGCAATACTACATTCTAACCACTATGTCACCCGGAAGAAGATTGAGAAAGGGAATAAGAGAAGAAGGAAAGGAAAGGAAAGGAAAGGAAAGGAGAAAAGAAGGAAGGAAAACAGGAAGAGGGATGGAAGAAGGAAGGAAGGAAAGAAGGAAGGAAGGAAGGAAGGAAGGAAGGAAGGAAGGAAGGAAGGAATAACACTTACATGCAGCTTCACAGTGCTTTTACAGGCCCACTCTAAGCAGTTTAAAGAGTCAGCCTGTTGCACCCAACAATCTGGGTCCTCATTTTACCGACCTTGGAAGGATGGAAGGCTAAGTCAGTCGACCTTACGGACATCAAGAAACAGGACATCTTGTTTCCAGTTAGATTTCCCTTTTTAATTGGACAACCATCCTTAAGATCATCCCTCAAGTTCAATGGGATAGATGAAATATTTTGAATTTTGAACCTTGAAAAGCCCGGCTTCTAAGCCAGTACGGAGTTGCATTGAGCTCAGAATTTGTGTTGTGGGAACAACTGTTTTGGATTCAATTCAGTCCCTGACTCAGGAGCTCGTAAAAGTTCTGAATTCGAAATGTTTTGTGCTCAGGATTCTTGGAACCAAGTCCAGCCTTCCCTTACATTTTAACGATCCAACATTTGAGAATTTTCAAGGCCTGGAAGATTTGAAGGTTATTTCTTGTATTCTGGACATCACTCAAGTCTACTCTGTTCTTTCTTTTATCTTTTTATAATAATAACAATGATAGTTTTTTTAAAAAGAAAATTAATACAATCATTCCATCTTCGGTTGAACAGTGGTCTCTAAAAGATGGAAACAGGCCCATTTCCGGCTTTCCCGAACTTCCGGGAGGCCCATTTTTTGCCCTCCCCAAGCCTCCGTGCACGCCTTACACTTACCTGCATCCAAAACGGGCCGCAGGGGGACTCCTTGGCGGGGAAAGGCAGGGAGGGGTGGGCAAGACCGGCCAGGAGTGGGATTTGGAGGTTCTCCAAATTGCACAGAATCTTAGCTAGGGGCTCTCCCGAACTCCTGCAAACCCCCAGCAGCCCTGCCATGGTCATAAGTGTGAAACAAAAAGTCAGGGGTCGCCAAGCTTTTGGATCTCAGGGACCACCAAACTCGTAATTTTAAATCCCACGGACCAGAGACCCTGGGAAAATCCCCCAAAAAATTCTGTAGGAAAACCCCCCACCCCGTTTTCCTACTGATCGATCGTTCTTTATTTGGGATCGCAGGATACCGTCTCCAGCTCCGTTCTCAGGGGGAGAGAGAGAGACTTTTGGCTTCATGCAAGGAAAGCAGCAGAAGCTGCAGAAGTCTTTCTTTCTCTCCCCCAAACTCCTGCAGAAATGAGTCTTTGCTGGTGCAGCCTCTTGGAGCCGGAGGCCTTGCAAGGTCCCAAAGACTCATTTCTGGAAGAGTTTGGGTGAGAGAAAGAAAGACTTTTGCTGCTTTCCTTGTGTGCATGCAAAAGCAGAAGAAAGAAGTGGAAAGAAGCAGCCCAGTTGCCAGGCCAGGCGCGTGGGGCGAGTGGGGCAAGTTCTCCCCTTCCGCCCTTTCCCCCCTCCCCTCACTACCTCGTGGTGTTCACAATGAAGAATCTTTCAAGTCTGATTCTACTCTACTTCGTCCCCTTCCTAGGTGGGGTTTTTAAATATAAAACCATTCAATTGAAACTACTTTTTTTAAAAAAAATGTAGTTTTAATTATCAAAAACTACATTTCCACTGCATTAGTTTTAATGTTACGGAGTGAATTTTATGCATGCCCCATCAAGACCTTTTTGTAGATACGGCTTGTTCATTTGCAGATGTAGATTCAGGTTAAATTCTCACAAACTGCTTTCCCAGTGCATTAAATAATTTGTTGATGTTAAGAAAGTGATTGTGTGTATGTGTGTATGTATGTACACCCACACCCACACACCCACACGCCTCATCCATACTCTAATCGATGTGGCGTCTTAGTTTGCAAAGTGCTGGTGCTAATGTGGTTTCCATTAAGTTATGATAAACTACTTTACCAGTTTAGTAAATAGTTTGATCATCTAATAACTTTGAAAATTTGGGCCTAGTGCTCTTGTGGTGTGATTCTGCCCTCTGCTGACTCATCCCTGTCATTGCAATGACAGTTAGTCTTTGACTTAACAACCGCAATGGAGCCCAAAATTTTTGTTGCTGTGTGAGACACGTCTTAAGTGAATTTTGCCCCATTTTACGACCTTTCTTGAGACCGTGGTTAAGTGAATCACTGCAGTTGTTAAGCTACTAACGCCGTTCTTCAGTGAATCTGGCTTTCCCCATAGCTTTTGCTTGTCAGAAGGTCGCAAAATGACTCATTTGTGATCCCGAGACACTGCATCGGTCATAAATATGAATCAGTTGCCAAGCATCTGAATTTTGCTCATGTAACCCTGGTCGATGCTCAACGGTCATTAAGTGTGAAAAACGGTCATAAGTCACTTTTTTCCCCAATGCCGTTGTAACTTCGGTCACTAAATGAAACATCGTAAGTCGAGGACTACCTGTAATCAATACTCTTACAGGAAGTCCTCAAGATACGACCACAATAGCCAACACCCAAGAAGATAGGCTCAAGATCCAGATGGATCTTGACAGACGTGAACCCTGGGCCCTGTCTAACAAAATGAAATTCAATGTAGAGAAAAGTAAAGTCCTACTCTTAGGCAAGAAAAACCAAAAGTACACATATAGACTGGGTGAAACCAGGCTCAATAGTAGTAACTATGAGAAGGATCTTAGAGTCCTAGTGGACAACCAGCTAAATAGGAGCCAGGAGCATGCAGCAACGTCCCCAAAAGCCAATGCAATCCTAAGTTGCATTAACAGAGGGATACAATCAAGATCAAGGGAGGTACTAATACCACTCTATAAAGCCTTAGTAAGGCCACAGATAGAGTACAGCATCCAGTTTTGGTCACCACATTATAAAAAAAATGCTGAGACTGTAGAAAAAGTACAGAGAAGAGCAACCCGGATGATGAGGGGACTGGAGGCTAAAACATACGAAGAACAGTTGCAGGAACTGGGCATGGTTAGTCTGGTGAAGAGAAGGACCAGGGGAGACATGATGGAAGCCTTCCAATATTTGAGGGGCTGCCACGGGGAGGAAGGGGTCAAGCTATTTTGTAAAGCGCCTGTAGGCCAGAGAAGGAACAATGGATGGAAACTGATCAAGGAGAGATTCAACCTGGAAATAAGGAGAAACTTTCTGACAGAACAATCAACCTGTTGAACAGAAGTTGCCTTCAGAAGTTGTGGGAGCTTCATCGCTGGAGGCTTTCAAAAAGAGACTGGACTGCCATTTGTCAGAAATGGTGTAGGGTCTCCTGCTTGGGGGTGGGGGGGTTGGACTAGATGACCTACAAGGTCCCTTCCAACTCTGATTATCTGTTATCTGTTACAATTGAGCTCCAAAAATTATGTTGCTAAGGGACACATTTGTTAAGTGAGTTTTGCTCCGTTTTACAACATTTCTTACCACATTTGCTAAGTGAATCACTGCGGATGTTAAATGAGTCACACAGTTGTTAAGTGAATCTGGTTTCCCCCATTAACTTTGCTTGTTGGAAGATCGCAAAAGGGATCACGAGACACATTTCCAATTTGCATTTGGCTGCTTGACAAATGATTCATGTTTATGACATCATAAATATGAATTGATTGTCAAGCATCCAAAAGTAAATCACGTTGCAATGGCCATAAGTGTGAAAAACAACCCTAAATCTCTTTTTTTCAGGGCTGTTGTAACTTCGAACGGCCACTAAATGAACCGTCATAAGTCGAGGACTACCTGTAATCAATGCTCTTACAGGAAGTCCTCAAGATACGATCACAATTGAGCTCCAAAATTTGTGTTGCTGAGGGACACATTTATTAAAGAGAATTTTGCTCCATTTTACAACCTTTCTGGCCACCATCGTTAAGTGAATCACTGCAGTTATTCAGTTAGTCACAAGGTCATTAAGTGAATCTGGCTTTGCTTGTCAGAAGGTCGTAAAAGGGGATCATGAGACACTGTAACCATCATAAACATGAATCGATTGTCAAGCATCCGAATGCAAATCACATTGCAATGACCATAAGTGTGAAAAACAACCCTAAATCCCTTTTTTCAGGTCCGTTGTAACTTCCAATGGCTATTAATGAACTGTGGTAAGTCAAGGACTTCCTGTACGTCCAGGTCCTCATTTCTTCTATCTTTTTTTTATAGGTCGTACAGGGAGGTACACCCTGATAGAAAAATGGCGGGATACGGAGAGACATTTATCGCCTCACGAGAACCCCATCATTTCCTTGAACAAATGGGGACAGCACGCCGGCGATGTGCAGCTCGTCTTACGGCGCACCGGGCCGTCGCTTAGCGAGCGGCCGACCTCAGACAGCGTCGCTCGGATCCCGGAAAGGACTTTGTACCGGCAAAGCTTGCCTCCCTTGGCCAAGCTCAGGCCTTCGAACGACAAGTCCATCAAAAGGAGGGAGCCCAAGCGCAAGTCGCTGACGTTCACCGGCGGGGCCAAAGGACTGATGGACATTTTCGGGAAGAGCAAAGAGTCCGAGTTCAAGCAGAAAGTCCTCCACTGCAAGACCACGGCAGACGAGCTGAAGAAGCTCGTCCGCCTCCAGGCGGAGAAGCTGCAGTCGGGGGAGAAACGGCTGGACTCGGATGAGGCCGAGATCCGCTACTGGGAGCAGAAGTTCAGCTTCAGCCTGGAGGATGACATCCTGAAGCTGGAGCAGAAGCTCAAGAGGAACGAGGTGGAGATCGAGGAGGAGGAGGTCTGGGAGAACGAGCTCCAGATCGAGCAGGAGAACGAGAAGCAGCTGAAGGAGCAGCTGATGGAGACCCGCCAGGGGGTCGCGGACTGTGAAAGCCAACTGAGGGACTACCTGGCCCAGATCCGCCATATGGAAAGCGGCCTGGAGGCCGAGAAGCTGCAGCGGGAAGTGCAGGAGGCTCAAGTCAACGAGGAAGAAGTCCGAGAGAAGATCGAGAAACTCCGAGGAGAACTTGAGCTCCACGGCCAGCAAAGCCTCCGGCTGGAAAACGGCCTCAAAGCTGTCGAGAGGTCTCTGGGGCAGGCGACCAAGCGGCTGCAGGTGGGATCCACTTTCGGTCTTCAAAGGTTGTGTTAGAGAAATACAAAGAAAATAAGAGGGGAAAGAGGGGGAAAAAAGCATGAAGGAAAAAAGAAAGAGAAAAGCATTGACCTGCCACTCCTTTTGGTGCAGTTCGACTCCGGGGGCCTCTCCAAGCTGGGTGGTTTTCTTGCAGATGTTTCATTACCCAACTAGGTAACAGCATCAGTGCTAGAAGGGAGTGATGTTTGGGGAGAGGAAGGGGAGGAGGAGGGAGGAGGAGGAGGAGGAAAGCCAGGAGGAGGAGGACTATGGGGACCTTGGTGCTCTCTGAGCTTAATTGTTTTCTTGCAGACGTTTCATTACCCAACTAGGTAACCTCATCTGGTGCTGGTGCTCCTAATAAAGGAATCATTGATTTATCTACAAAGGATTTGTCGTGTTTGGGGAGCTGAGTCAGAACAGAATGGTGGCAAGTCAGGGTCTACTCTGCAGATTGCTAAAGAGAACCCGGTTGTTGGAACTAGATCCATCGATGGCAGCTGCCAAAGTCATGAAATAACTAACTTCCTTTGGTGGTTTGGGTGGAGCGAGAATGGAAAATAAGCCCTAATGTATCCTGGAAAGTCAGTTATTTTTATTTCTGTTAAAAATCATTCGGCATCCTTCAGTCCTGTCTGGCTGAATCTTTTCTAATAGCGAGAATAATTCACCAGTGGGACGAATTGCCTGCGGAAAATTGCGGCAGTCCCATCATTGGAGGCCTTTAAGAAAAGACTGGATGGCCCTCTATCGGAAATAGTCTCCTGTGAGAGCCAGGGGCAGGGCTGGATGACCTCCGGGGTCCCTTCCAACTCTTGCTGCTAAATCTGTTTTCCTTTCTTCTTCTCCTCAGGAAAGAGAACAAGAACTGGAGCAGCTGACGAAAGAACTGCGTCAAGTCAACCTCCAACAGTTCATCCAGCAGACGGGGACAAAAGTCACGGTGCTTCCGGCTGAGCCCGTCGAATTGGAGACATCACACCCAGAGCTGGAGAAAGGTAGTGTGAGGAACCAAAGGGGCGTGGCACAAAGGCAACACAGTCAGATAATCCTTAGGAGTTCCTATATTAGCTCCAACTTTGCCCCCCAATGTCCTGGTTACCTTCTGGGCCGGAGAAAAACTGTCCCAGGAACAGCCTTTGGCTGCAGAGAATCAAGTCCAAAATGTGGTCAACAAAAACTGTAACTAAAAGTCCAATCAAGGCAAAATGAGGTCATTAGTCAGGAGAAGGAATTCCAGATGTGAAGGCACAGCAGTAAATCAAACAGTTGGGAGGATGCCAGGAACGCAGATAACCAAAGTCAACACAAGATAAACTCATGTTTGCTCCCAGCAGCTGCCGCACTCAGCATGCATCTCTTTTAAACACTCTTCCCAGGTGTGGCTAATGAAGGGAATCAGGGCCCTTTCCTCCCCCATAAGCCACGCAACCCACGTTGCTCCCTTCTCCATCCTGCGTGCCCTAGGATGAAGAGCGGGTGGGTCTTCCTCCGAATTCCCTCTCCCTTGTTCTACCTCTCCCCTGCTGTGCCCAGCCGGATTTTGCTTTTCCCCAGTTTCCTCCACAGCCAACGGAGCCACATTCCTGCTCCTTGTCAGCTGTTTGTCTTCCTCCTCGGATTCAGACTCTGACAGGGGGCATGACAGGTAGTTTTGAGATGACTACACACACCCCTGCCCAGGGGTGGGATTCAACCAGGGTAACAACTGGCTCGGTGAGCATGCGCTTTGCAGCGTTTCAAAACTGCCCATTTTCAGCTAATACTTACCTTCTACTGCAGCCCCGGTGAGGAAAACAGCTGAGGTGTGGCCATCCACAGTGCTGCGTAAATCAGCTGAGTTGCAAAACACGGAAATAAAGGACAGACTAGGGCAGGGGTGGATGGGCGGGGCTAAATGATCGCCAGAACTACCGATTCGTCCAAACTGGTAGAATCCCACCCCTGCTCCTGCCCCCTTCCTCAAACAGATCTTAGGAGGGATCCGTTGAAAGTTCACCCGTGCTCTTTTGAGGATTGGGCAGGAAAGCTGGGAGAGATGTTGGCAGGTTCACAACTAATTTGCACACAAGCAACTTTCATTTCTAAAGAAGGGAAAGGAGAAGATAGACACATCGAGTCAGGAGTGCCCAACCATGGCAACTTCTAAGACTTGTGGACTTCAAGTCCCAAGATTCCCCAGCCAGCAAGGTTTTAAAGCAGGTGGGATCCGACCAACATAATAACTGGTTTGTGAGGCGTGTTCATGCACATCAAATGCACACTGCACACTGCACATGCTGCGCGCTATCAGCTCCAGCAAGCATTTATCTTCTCCAGCTGGCGAGTGCACTGAGGAGGTAAACGCAGCCACTAAAGGACAGCCTAGAGCCCGGGTGGGGCAAACAGCAGACCAAAACCTCATTAGAGCGAACCGATTCAGGGTCAGCTGCTCATCGGAGCTACCAGTTCTATAGAACCAGACCGAACTGGTAGGATCCCACCCCTGTTTTAAAGTTGCCAAGGTTGGGCACCCTTGCATTGGGAGTAGCGAGACAAGAGAGGGAGATAAGACAAGGTTGACTCAGTCTTCTGCCCTTCCGAAGTTGGTAGTATTAGGACCCAGGTAGTTTGAGGTAAAAGGCTGACTTTGTAAATCCCATAGAGAGAGATGTAAAGCAATGTGAAGTGGTATGTAAGTGCTATTGCGAATGGGAAGGGAGGGAAGGAGAGAGTGAGGGAAGAAGGGAAGGAAGGAAGGGAAAGGAAAGGAAAGGAAAGGAAAGGAAAGGAAAGGAAAGGAAAGGAAAGGAAAGGAAAGGAAAGGAAAGGAAAGGAAAGGCAGGCCATGGTGGCACAGTGATTAGAATGCAGTATTATAGGCTAACTCTGCCCACTGTCAGGAGTTCAATCCTGACCGGCTCAAGCTTGACTCAGCCTTCCTTCCTTCCTTCCTTCCTTCCTTCCTTCCTTCCTTCCTTCCTTCCTTCCATCTATCCATCCATCCATCCATCCTGGCACAAGTGGTTAGGATGCAGCATCGCAAGCTAATTCTGCCCACTGCCAGAATTTCGATCTCTGCCCAGCTCAAGGTTGACTCAGCCTTCTGTCAATTCACCTTTCCCTCTTTAGGCAGAACCTGTTTAAGGCTTGAGCCACCTTCGAAGACGTCATAACTAACCTCGTTTCTCCTCCCGCAGAACCCGCCTTTCAAACCAGCTCCCTCAAACGCCCGAGTTCCTCACGGCAGCTTCCTAGCAACCTTCGGATCTTGCAGAACCCGCTGTCCTCTGGATTTAACCCGGAGGGCATTTACGTATAACGACCCAATGTCCCTCTGAAGAGGACATCTGGAGGTAACCGAGGACCGCAACCCATTTCCTCCTGCTAGGTTTCTTCTCACCATGACCTATGGAGGAAGAAGAAAATGATGATGATGATCAAATCTGGCATTTGAAAACTTATCACACCGGGGGCATTTCATGGCCTCTTTTTTAATCACACGCCAGGCGCCGATTTTACGGTGAGGACCAAAACACAATGGTGGCAGCCATTCCTCCCTGAACAGCCATGTCAAAATAGCTTCCTTCATTTTCTTTTATTTTAAATATTATTATTATTATTGCTATTTCTGAAGCATAAATATTTCTTAGCAGGCATCCGTGGCTGATCTGAGACACACACACACCCCTCTCACTCTCCCAAAATGCTCACTCTCTTTGCTGGGGTAGGGAATGATGGCCCTTTGGTTGACGTGTGTACTTCAACTCCCAGAATTCCTGAGCCAACATCACTGACTTAGGAATCCTGGGAGTTTGGAAGTCCCCCATGGCTGCCTCGGGAATTCTGGGAGTTGAAGTCCAGAAGTGATCGAAGGGCCATCGTTTCCCCAACTCTGCTCTATGCAGTTGGATTATTTAGTGATTAATCTGTGGCGTATGAATGCGGGCATATCGTTTCTAGTTGCAGGTCGTGCCTTAGAGTAGGCCTGTATTACTCCCCCATCCATGGCTGTTGCTATCTCTAAGACGCCATTTTGAATTACACAATCCTCCCAACTACTACTAGGTTGCAAGCTTTAGTATGTTTCATAATTGGTTGTGCTAGGGATTGGCCACTTGCCTTTCGAAAGAGAATTGAAGGACAAAAAGTTGGAGAAAGTCCCAATTTTAAGTCAGGTAGAACTTGGGTTTTTGCCCATGATGATGTCACGCCTGCAGCGTGAAACGTGTGTTTGTGTACGTATGTAGGTGTGTGAGAGAGAGAGAGAAAGAAAGAAAGAAAGAATCTGCACAGATACAAATGAATGTGTACAATGATAAAAACGATGTGTTTTGTCACTGCACAAAGAGTCACAATGTCCAAATGGACTGAAGCTTAAAAGAAAAAAAGAGTTTATGTTGTGGTGGGTGTTTGTTGTGTTACAGCCATTGTGGGATATTTTTCCCCTCCCTTTTTTAATAGCCAATGGATTTTTTTCCCCACTTAAAAGATCCTCAGGCCCGAAACTCCACTTTGTTAAGGATTACACTTAGCATTTGAAGATCTTCTAGTTAAATAGTGCTTTATGATGATACTGAAGGTTATATTTGACATATTTTGCCATAATGAATACGCCTATCAAGGAACAAAATGCTTTCTCTTTAGTCCAATGTCTTGCCAAAGGAATTTCTCACCATTTATTTTTATAATTTTTATTATTATTTTTACCACTACAGTGTTCTTGTATTATAGCCAGGAAAGACACAATCCTCCATTATAATGTGGATTTGTGCCACTTACAATTTATTAAGCCAGAAACACCCATGTATGGTAGTTGGACAGCTGCATAACAACTTTTTTTCTCTTTTTTTGCAAAACCAGATTTTTTTTTCCATCAGATTGGTTTCAGGTGTACATAAAATGGATGAGAAATGCTCAGGCCGTGAAATATGAAATAGCTGGACAGCTCCACCCTGATGCCTTGCCTATAGAAAGAAGACGTATATAATAAATAGATAGATAGATAGATAGATAGATAGATAGATAGATAGATAGATAGATAGATAGAT